CTTCTGGTTTACAGCCTGTTTCATCACAGTTTTACCAACCAGACTGGCTAGGTTTAAACCGTAATATCTACATGAAGAAATTGGAAACTAAATCATAGGTTGTGTTAAACTAGACCTGCTTGCATAGGTTAAACCCAGATTTACAGGAACCAAAATGAAACATTTAGCCGAAGCTAACCTCCATGCATTTAGAAAGATTCTTTTTTTTCAGATGTTTTTTTATCAAAATTATATATATATATATATATATATATATATATATATATATATATATATATATGTATGTATGTATGTATTTTTTTAACAAGATTTTCTCAGATGAATTAGTGATTTCTTTATTAAAAACTCTACTTTTTGTCTTAACCAGGTTAGATTATTATTTCTTCCTGACAAACACTCCAAAGCAGGATTAGGCTTCATGCATGCATTTTCCTTTGCCTAACCGAGTTAAGTTGCTTCTGGGGTATCAGTAGCTCAGGAGGTAGAGCGGGTCATCCAGTAATTGGAAAGCTGGAGGATCAATCCTGGCTACCAGCAGAGAATTCTGCTTTTGTATCCTTGGGCACTTAACACTCCTTGTGTCCTAATCACTTGTTCCTGTACCTTTAAGTTAATTTAAATAAATAAAAACAAGCATCTGGAATAATCCTACAGAGAGGAAAAGATATCTTGCAAGTCCACACAGAAGCAGCTCCACAGTCACAGAGGGATCAGCACAGTGACCGCCACCATCAGGGCAAGCCGGTGTAGGTACCGGCTCTGCTTGGGCTGCCAGATCGGCTCGGGGTTCTGTAACTAGCTGAACGTTGGACTTATGCTTGTTACTTCACCATATTCATCAACGTAATGTTAGCACGTTGACAATGAAGAATTTGATTGGTCGGGACAAATTGGCGATTGTTGTCCAAAAACATTTTTTTCATGAAAAATTTGTTTGTATTGCAAAAGGAAATGTAAAGGAAAAGTAAAAATATTAAGTGATAAACAGAGACCATCAGCAGCTCTGATTTTTAAGCAATGGGGCAAAATAAAAATAAAACAATCCATTGTACAAATAGCAAGCAACATTTTGAATGAATGGATTTATTTACATAAGAACTAACAAAACATACAGAAGATTTCCACATTTATATGTAGCGTACCAAAAGGCCAAGTATTTCATCAAAATGACCAGAAGTTAACTTTAAACTTACAGGTCAATCTGACACCGTGGTGCCATGTGAAGAAATGAACTTGAGCGAACATTCTTAAATCTTGTGTACGTCATGAGCCCTCAAGGCTGCAAGACACAGGACTTCTATCCTTTACTCTCTGAATAAAGTCTTTCTTCCCTGGCTCACATAAATGACTTTAAAACCTCATACAATCATATTTTGTTGAATGAACAATTAGTTTAAATCCAAAGTGTTTGATTAATGTGTCCTATACTTTACATTGTGAGTGAAAGTGAATTATTCGTCCTGTAGTGATTCATTTCAGATCTTAAATTACACCAGATTAGTATTTGTTGATTTTAATGTTAAATCTATCAAAATATTCACACCTCATAATATTATTATTAATGTTTAAACACTTGTGCTTCACATAATCTGTTATCTGAGAGAAGAAGGGATCTTCTGAGGTATTTTGTTAACGCATTTTAAACTTGGCAAATTCTGATTTGTCTAAATTTGTCAACAACAGTTGATAAAAACAGAGATCACTTCCTGATCTAGTCAGTTCTCCGCTGCCTTTTGGTTCGGCAGACCGGGTTAGCAAGCACTTAGAACCATCATCTGTTTGACCAGGGTCAAAGCCTCTCTGCAATGCATCCATCTAATTATTTAAATACATTTTAGAAATTTTACATATAAGAACTGCTGTGCTTTTTGGCAGAGTCTGATGTTTGTTTTATGTAGTTTTACATTTTTTACAAAACAAAGACAATATGCTGCTTTGTTCAGAAATTATAGTTATAAAGAAAACAATTTGGCGGAAAAAAAAATCTATAAACAAAACTGATAAACTCTGTCCCAAAGCCTATGTGTGAGAGAATATCAAGAAAGAGATGCAACATATTTCAGCCACGTGGATTTGCTGTAGTGACGTCATTGGTAGGCGCAGGATCCTGAGCCGATCTGACAGCCCGATCAGATCCAGTACCTACACCGATATCGATACCACGGCCATGAGGCTGCAGTGCTGTAAGATATCCATTATCCGTGACTTGATATTTCAAATACAGCTAAAAAGAAAATGAACTGGCCCTACATCACAGTAATATAAATCGGTGTATTGTCAGCATAGATGTGAACATCAATGCCGTTTCTCCTGATGACTTCTCCAAGTGGCAGCATTGATGTCCTACTTTTTACTTGGAAGTGTTTCTGTTAGGTTTCTGGACTGGTTTGTTTATGTGTGTTGTTGCGTACACTTAAGACTTGCAGAGAATTGTCAGCTTTTTCTGTTTCACATGATCTGTCACAATATGCTGGAGGTTGGTAGGACCCAAAATGCAGGAACCCAAGATGACACGAGGCAGGTGATAATATAAAGAAAAATCCTTTATTTTGAAGGATGAACCAAAGAATAAATCCAAGGCAGGGAGCCAAAAGTCCAAAATCCGAAATCAAAACTAGAGACAAAAAACACTGGAGACTAGAGGAGACTGGGATTAAAAATACTAGAGACAAACACTGGAGACTCGAGAAGACAGACAGAATAACCACAATGGACCAACACCAAAAAGAGACAAGACAGGGCTTAAATACACAGGGAGAACAATTAAGGAAACAGGAAGCAGGTGTGCGGAGTGAGGGCTGGAGGGAAGGCAAGTGACACCAATTATCTAAATGGGGAAACAGAACCAGTGAATGGCAGATAAACCTAAAAACCTCAAACTAAACCTAAGACTGAGGGAAGGACTCAAACACACACATACACATACTGACACACATAGACTCACACACACATACACTGAACTGGGGAATGGACACGCACGCACGCACGCACGCGCGCGCGCGCACACACACACACACACACACACACACACACACACACACACACACAACCACCAACTGGGGCAGGACACGCGCACACACACACACACACACACACACACACACACACACACACACACACACACACACACACACACTGAGCAGGGGAATGGCACACACACACACACCGAGCTGGGGACAAAGAGGCTGGAGCTACAGAACGTGAAGGAAGACCTGGAGGGCTGGGGATGAATGAATGAATGAATGAATGAATGAATGAATGAATGACACAGGACCTGGGAGGAATAGACTTTAAAGGGCTACAAACATAAGACCAGTGTTGGGAACGTTACTTTAAAAAAGTAATTAGTTATAGTTACTGATTACTTTGTCAAAAATGTAACTCAGTTACTAACTGAGTTACAAGATCATAAAAGTAACTAATTACCAACAAAAATAACTACTTAGTTACTTTTTTTCATTAAAGAATGCAAGAATTACTACAATAGTGAAATATAAATGACTAATGACTGAACATAATAAAATGTATGTCCAAATGTTTTTTATAAACCTGAATAATTTAAATAAATAAGCACTTAACAGGAGGAACTACTAATAGGAACATTACACTAATCTAGACTATTAAAAGGTCACTGTGTGATATTTAACAAGAACCCAATCAGCTAAAATTTAAAATTGCGAATAGAAACACCTGTAAAGGTTCCCGAGCCTTTAAATGGTCTCTCAGTCTAGTTAAATTACAGAAATAAATGTAATTTTGCACAGTATTCTAATTTTTCCAGCTTCACATAATTGTCTGTTTTTAGCAGCATTTCTGTTGCTGGTAATCTAGTAACGGTTAAATAAATAAATAAAATCCTTTAAAATGACACTAGAAGAGGCACAGATCTGATGGAGGACTTACATTTACTAACTTGGGTCAGACCCAAACACAGAAGAGCTGAAGCTGGGTGGTGAACACACACAGGTAGTTCTAATAACACCTGAGCTCCATGCCGTTTGAGACTGATGCATCAGTGTTACAGCGGGACTAAAGACATGATCAGAAACAGGTTACAGCTGGGTGATCTAGGAAGGTAGAAGATCAGGACGTCTGAGCGGTGAACAGGTGAGCGGACCTTCGGGACGTCCCGCTGTCACGCCAAGAAGGGCACGGCTGCAGACCCGCAGATTCCCACCTGCAGCAGCGAATCTGCGGGTCTGCCGCCGTAGATATTCATCACGTCTTACTCGTTCTTCACGGGCCGTAACGCTCTTGGATGAAAACATCTACCTCTTTAGCTCCTGATCAGCTGATGACAGCTTCAACACACCGCGCAGCTTAACGCACGCATTTTCTTATCAGTAACAGAAACGACGTTTTGTTAAAAGAAGACGGAAATTAATTAGTTTGCTCATTACAGAAAGAAATATTTTTTTATTAACGTGGTTATTTTAAACGGCGTTATTACCATCACTTGCTGTGTCTACACTACAGCAGGCAGCGACTGAGACAGTGGGGGGTCTCCGTCCACCCGGCCAATCATCATCGTGTTTGTAAGTGCATTACCGACACCTCTCTCTCCCTGGCTGCAGCTGAAGTGTGGCGGTCGGAAAGCCTCACACTGCTGCTCAACGTTCGACAAGCACATAGTAACGCACAACCTTCCGTCCCCAGTAACGGTAACGGCGTTGCAACGGCGGGAAAAGTAATTAATTAGATTATTCCGTTACCTATAAAAGAACGCCGTTAGAAACGCCGTTATACTTAAACGGCGTTACTCCCAACACTGCATAAGACACATAATTGAGACGCAGACAAAGGACACATGAGGGCGCTATGAGACACAGAAGGGAATCTAGAGAGGATGGAGAAACATCAGGAGACACATGAAGGAAGGGGCAGACGCAGACCATGACATGATCAGACTAAAAGGATTGATCAAAGCATAACTTTTCTAATGCTGGGTTCTGTTCAAGGCCTGTGTCTTTGTTGGTGAATCAAAGTGTTTGTTGCTTTAGGTCCGGGCCAGCGCCATAGCCCAGGATGCAGACCAAAACTACGACTATGCCAGTAACAGCGCTGTGCTTCACCTAGAGCCTGGAGATGAGGTCTACATCAAACTAGATGGAGGCAAAGCTCATGGAGGAAACAACAACAAGTACAGCACCTTCTCTGGGTTTGTTGTATACGCTGACTAGAAGTGTCCGGACTAGTAAAAAAGTCAGTCCTTCTGCAAGCACTGTGGTCCCGTCTTCATTCAATCCTTGAAACCTGCCTGCACTAACGATATATATACCTGTGTATTAGAACGTTTTACTGATGAGGACATTATGATATGAAACTCTTTAAATGATTCAGAATCAACAGCTGAAGGTGTGCCAGAACCTCAGAACAGAACCTTTCCTTTGAGGTAAATCTCTCTGCTCGTAACATATTTAGCAAAATCAGACCCAGACTCAGTCCTGCTGGTGTGTTTCTGGTTCTAGCCCTGGTGGCTCTCAGAAGCATGACTCTGAAAACATGTTGACATGTGACCCAGTCTGACTAGTAGTGTGTGTAACAACCTGGTTCTCTGTCAGCTCATACTTTGCTTATATATATAGCACATTTTAAACAACAAAGTGGTGACCAGACAAGTGAAAAATGCACCATTAATAATTGCAAATACCTCAATAAAGAAACCAAAATTAATTAGCAAAATAATAATAATAATGATAAGAAAGAAAATGCAATGTAAATTGGTTCTGACAGCCTAGTTCTTAGAGCCAGACTCAGAGGACTGTGTGGCTCTGATCTATCTACTGGAGTAATTGATAACATGCTATTGTTATTAATTTTATTAAATGTCATTTAATTTTATGCTTTTATTTGTTGTTCCATACACAGTTAAAATTTATCCTGGGCTAGAAAGCATGATCTATTACATAAAGATAGTTACTTGCCTTTGGCAACAAGCTACTAGGGGCCTTATAAAATAGCAGAATTACAACCAGAATTGACCTTTAACCAGTTAAATGTGTCAAAATGTGTGTTATCGAAACAAATTTTAGTCCAAACGTATTTCAAATATGCTAGATAGATACATGGGGTCTCCCTCTTTTAAAATTGCATGTCTCATTAGGGTGACCAGTTGTCCCATATTCTGATTGGTGTGCATAAGTCAACAATACCTTGCTCCCTGTGGCTGTAGAAAGCGGTGAAGCTCTCCTAGAGATTAATAGATGTTCATCAAACCAGACCCAAATGGGGGGAGCAAGTGAACCTGTTGCTGTTTGGATTCCAGTAGCTCCGCCCACCAGTGGAAAATTGATAAATTCTTCATGGATAAAATCAATTCTATGGCAAACAAAATCATTAGCATCCTCTCTAATGCGATTTTTTTCTTCCTCAGTAAGTTAGGCAGCATCAGAGGTAACTGTAGAACCTCATCTGTGTGTAAACGGAACTGTATTGGAATGTTTACTTCGTGAAGTGCCTTGAGATGACTCTTGTCGTGATTTGGCGGTATATAAATAAACTGGGTTGAATTGATAAAACCACTCAGTTGTGGATTAAGTTATATATTCATAGAGAAGAAAATTTAACTATGGTACTTGGGGAAACCCAACATGAAGGAAAGAAACCAGAATATGGAGGACCAGCAAATTTAGTTTAACCGTAGAGCAGTTTTCAGTAGTCAGGAAGAAAGATTTAAACAAGAACTGCCTCTGAGGCAAGAGGAAATTAATTTGGAGTTTAGTTTGTATTACAATTGACTTCTAGGTTTTGATACAATCAGATCTCTTCAGTCAACACACTGGTTGTCCCCTATTTTGTAGGTTTGGATATGGTCACCCTATTGCACATGTGATGTGTGTGTAAACTAGTGACAGCAGCTGACATGCAGAAACATTAAGGAAAATTGGGCATTTGGACTTTTCTGACAAAACTATCAAAGATAAAAGACTTTTTCACTTCAGCTACTAATGGTGCTCACAAAAGCACTTTTGTTAGAACAACTATAACTACCTGCACCTGCTCTAACAGGTGTGCAGAAAAAAGTACCCCAATGTGAAGAATGTCAGGCAGATATCTATAATTAAATTCTTTCAAAAACCAATTACATTTTAGATATTTATAATACAAACTATTACTGGCATCTCTAACATAGTACAGAAACAGCAAACAACCCCAAAACAAAACACTTATTTGTGCTAAATGTCTGTAGCAGTACTCAGTATTACATACAAGGAAATGTTAAAAACCATTTAAGACTTGACAAACAACAACAAACAGAACTGGCCCTTTTATCCGAAGCGACCTACAAATGAGAACGTAACAAAACAGTTACCACTGAGGCAAACTATAAACTGAGCGAAATGGAAGTCTCACAGTACCTTACCTCTGTCATGTTTTGAATGGTGAACCCCCGGTCCATCCTGGAGTTCTTGTACACAGTTTCAGCCATTTGGCTATGATGTTTCATGTAGGTTTTGTCAATATGGATCTTACATCTTGCAAGTCAACCTTGTGCTGGACTGTCTGCTCTATGGGTCCTGTATTTGATCCGGCATTGCTATTTGTATACGCATCCTCTACACCCTCCTTTTTCTGTGTCCAGTTTCAGGTTACTGGATTTTGCAGGATCCCAAAGTACCTGTAACTGTCCTGAACATCTGCAATGTCACCTTCTGGTAGTTCAGCCCCTTCAGCTGCAATCACATTGCCTTTCTTTGATGTCCTTCAAACACAATTTTTCTATCTTTTCTGTAAAGAGACTGATCATCACCTTGGGATATGCCACACCTGATGCTAACCTGTGTTGTTGGCTTTGAATTCGCCACCTGGGGTGTCTTTCACACTCATATTGAGTTCTTGATGAAGGCTCTTAATGTTCTGTTGATGTTGTACATCTCGTTTTGTGCATGCATGCTTACATGTATACATACGTGCTTTATTTTTGACAGTTCTTGCAGGGCAGAGTTCAGTCTGTCTGGTCTTAACCTCATTAGGGTTATGGTTCTGTCAACCAGCAGGTGGTGATTGTCGCTTCTTAATTTTTCTGCCAACTCCATTCTGGTCCTCCTTATGAATTGATCTACAGTATGTGCCTTTTTATCTTTGCAGCCATGATGGCTGACAGGAGCTTCCATGTTGTACAGAGGCATGTGAATGCCTGGTAGTGTTGGATGGCATTGGCTTTTTCTGTTGGGCTCTCAAGAACAGGACTGTCCAGGTCATTCTTTCTTTCCTTTTCTGTTCAACTCCCTCTCTGTCATACCAAGACTACCCGTCTTATTCACTTTAGGAAAATTAAGGACATTTATCTGGACACTCTCTTGTCCCAACTCTTATCCCTTAGCTTTTCTGATATACTTCCCTGTCCTGATGAACTGACTGACCACTATAACTCCAGTCTACTTAACATCCTTGACACCTTGGCTCCATTAAAAACCCCTTCTGTCAGTTTCTCTACTTCTGCCCCCGGTTCACCCCTGATCTAAGGACTTTGAAAGCTGAAGGCCGACGGCTGGAGCTTCTCTACAGGAGAACGGGACTTTCTGTTCACAACGACATGTGCACTGCCCACTTAACCCGCTACAAGGATTCTATCGCCTGCACTAAGTGAGCTTACTGCTCCGGTCTAATCTACTCCCAACAGTGGAAATTCTAAAACTATTTTTTTCTCTCCTCCACCCCCCCCCCCCACACACACACACACACTCACACTTTTATTCTACTGACACCTGCAACAGCATTCTTTCCTTTTTTAAGCAGAAAATATACAAAATCCACCCAACCTCCACTCACTTCCCTCTGATGATCTGACCTTCACCGAATCATTTTCCTGTTTTTCAGTACCTGACTCCTCCACTATCTCAGACTTAATTTGCAAATCCAAGCCCTCCACCTGTCAGCTAGACCCACTCCCATCCATCCTGGTTAAATCTTGCCTCCCATCCTTGCTACCCTTGATCTGCTCCATCATCCACGCCTCCCTCCAGACCGGAATCGTACCCTCAGCCTTTAAAACCACAGCTGTCACTCCATTTCTCAAAAAGCCTGGTTCAGATCCTAACAATTTCAATAACCTCCGCCCCATCTCCAACCTACCATTCATTTCCAAAATTCTTGAGAAAGTTGTCGCCAACCAACTTCATTTTCATTTATCCTGAAATTATCTATATGAAGTCTTCCAGTCCGGTTTTCACCCTCACCATAGCACTGAGACAGCTCTGATAAAAATCACTGACGAGCTCCTTCTAGCTGCTGATTCTGGCCAAATCTCCATTCTCATCCTACTTGATCTTAGCGCAGCATTTGACACCATTTCACATACTGTCTTACTCCATAGGCTCTCTGCAGTCGGCATTTCCTAAAGTCCCCTAACCTGGTTCAAATCATATTTATCAAATCGCACTCAATTTGTCCAATTATGCACCTTCCGCTCCAACCCCTCCCCAGTCACATCTGGTGTCCCTCAAGGCTCAGTCTTAGGCCCCCTTCTCTTCATAATTTACTTACTTCCACTCGGCAATATCTTCCGTAAATTCAACATTAATTTCCACTGCTACGCCAACGATACCCAGCTCTATTTCTCTACCAAACTCAACACTCCACTCCCTCTTTCCTCTCTTCTCAGTTGTCTCTCTGAAGTGAAATTCTGGTTCTCTTCCAACTTCCTTCAGCTTAACAGTGACAAGTCAGAAATCCTCCTCACTGGCACCAAGATCAGTTCATTCTCACTTAGCTTCAATAACACCACACTTTCCCCTACCATTAAAGCCAAGAGCTTGGGCATATTTTGGATAACACCTTATCAATCATACCTCACATCAACAAAATTACAAAAACTGCTTACTTCTATCTCCGCAATGTCAGTCGACTCCGCCCCTCCCTCAGCCAACACTCTGCTGCTATTTTGATTCACAGTCTTGTCACCAGCCGCATCGAGTACTGTAATGCCCTCCACTCCGGTCTCCCTCTAGAGTCACTCAATAAACTTCAGCTGGTCCAGAATTCCGCCAGCCGTATAATCACCAAGACCTCCATCTACGATCACATCTCTCCTGCTTTGCACCAACTTCACTGGCTCCCTGTTAAATACCGAATTGACTTTAAAATTCTTCAGTACACTTTCAAAGCCATCCACAATCTCACTTCTCCATATATTTCTAATCTCATCCATGTCGTTACTCCCATTCGCTCGCTTCGATTATCATCCTCCGTTTCCTTATCTGTTCCTGTATTCGCCTCAGTAACACAGGAGCCAGAGCCTTCAGTTACTCAGCCCCTAAACTCTGGAACACTCTCCCGTCTGACATCCGCATTATCAACTCATTCTCAACCTTTAAGTCCCAACTCAAAACTCATATGTTCCACTCAGCTTATCCACCATAACTGTGCTCCTTCTTCTGCCCTTCTGTAGCCTAGCAACCAAAATCCCCCATTCCTGCATTTTTATTTAGTCTTAGCTCCTTTTTTTATCTTCATTATTTTATGTATTTATTTGTATTGGTGTCTTTTCTTGTATGTACCTGCACTTGTAAAGTGACCTCAATAGTCTTGAAAGGCGCTTGAAATAAAATGTATTAGTATTATTATTATTATTATTATTATCCACTCTGGATAGAACTGTCTATTCGTTGCTGATTCATCTGTGTTGTCATGTGTTTATGGGGAGCTGTCAGTTTCAGTGGCCAGTAGGTGCGGATTATGTCAGCACATGGTGCAGTCCAACATATTCTTTTTGAGACTCTTTCTTGGATCTACCACTGTGATATTTTGTGGTTTTGCTCTGAAAGATTGCTTCAATCATCTTTTAGACCTTCCAGACATGGAAGTGTTGCGTAATGGCCCTATTTACTACATCCTTACTCACTGTTGATCTTGGTGGGCCCAGGTGGACGTTATTCCTTTACAACTTCCTGTTGATTCTCTTGGTCTCAACGTCTCTCTTGAGTCACTTTAGGTGGATAGCCAGAGCTGTGAGACATTGCTTGAAAGTTTCAAAAGCCTCAGGTGTGAAATTGTTAAGTTTAGCTTTCTTTATAGCACCATTCTGGTATCCTAACAGCTGGCTGATTCTTCTGTTTTGCCTTGATCTTAACTTCAAGCCTCCTTCATTGTGGACAATGCTTGTTGATCGTGGTCTTTATCTTAGAGTTGAGCAATGCAAGGATAGCCACTGCTGCAGTTTATACCAGCTTAGTTGTTTCAATGATTGTGTTAGTATGACTTGTAAGTCGCTTTGGACAAAAGCATCTGCTAAATACATAAACATAAACATATGAGTCAGTCATAGTCCTGCATTTACATACATACATAGACTTTCAGATGGTACTTTATTACTCAGCACAGTTGGTGTGTGTGTGTGTGCGTGCGTGTGTGTGTGCACGTGTGTATCTGAAATCAAGATGTCTTGTATAAACTCTCAGATATAGAGAATATTTATTCTAGATAACGTTTATGTGGGGACCTAAAGTCCTGCTACACTAGTTTTCCTATTACAAGGAAAAATGTAAATGTAGATTGTTAGAGGAAAAGCCCCCACTAGGTATCTAGAACACCGTTTTGTTTTGCTTGACTCAGAAGAGTTATATGATGCATAACTGCAGAATATATTAATACATGTTACCACATTTATTCAAACATTGTAAACATTTATTATATATTGTGGAACCAATATTAAATAAATTATTATAGTAATTTCTTACTATCAAACAGAAACTCAAATCTGCTGTAAATCAAACAAATGAACATAAAACTTGAAAAACATTGTTGGTAAGATTTTGAGACTTCCAGGTAGTTGTAAACCACACGAGTATTAGGTAAGATTGTTATAATAAAATCTGATTCACAGGTTAAATCAGTTCATATTAGTCAGCAGTTGTGCATAACAATAGTAATGTAAGCAAAGTAACGGTGGCTATGGAAAGTATTCAGACCCCTGTCAATGTTTCATTATATTGCAGACATTTGCTAAAATCAATTTAATTCATGTTTTCCTCATTAATGTACACAGAGCACCCCATATTGAATGAAAAACACAGAATTTTAGACATTTATGCAAATTTATTAAAACAGACAAACTGAAATATCACATGGTCGTGAGTATCTAATCTCTTTGCTCAGTATTTAGGAGCGGCTTGTTCAAAAAACGTAATGATCGCAGCTTCAGTCGCAATAAACATCAAGTTCTGTCCAAGGTAAATGGCAGCGCAGGGACTGCCCTCATACCCCCTTCATACCGCCATCGCCTAATGTTTTGTAAAAAGGACACGATTGCGCAACATTACCACCACGGTCTGACCACTTATAAACAACCTAAGGGTCCCTGATGCCGCCACAGCTTTGCGGCAAATTGACGGCATTGTTTTGTAAGAACAGCTTAATATGCATACATCTTAACCTGTGCATCTGATTTTGTTGTAAAATTATCACAAAGGCCTGTCTTCAATGAAAAATGACACAGTGAGGACATGGCTGCTTCACCCTGAAATGACTAAATCCATGTTTGAACACAAGGATGTCGTATCGTTTATGATCTGTATGTTCCTCTGATAAAAATTAGTCATCTTATAACGACAAACTCTTCCTGCTGCACATATCCAGATCAAGTTCTTGATGACTTTTTTTTTTTTGGCTGTTTGGTATTTTATCAGACTGTTTCCTTCTTTTACTTTGCACATCTAGAGACTGTTGGAGTGTTTTGGATCACTGGTTAAAGTCTGTTGTCAGAGCAAAAATAAAATCTGTTTCTCGCTGACTGGATCCGTGTTGTGTTTAGTTTAGCAGCACACCTGTAACTGCGGTGAACGGACCCATCCTAAAACTGTTTTTGTGTTTGTGGGGTGCTCACTGTACATGTGGATATTTATAACTTAAAAGATGGTGTTGAACTGTAACGTTTCTATGGTCAAATATTGTCATCACAATAAATATCAGAACCCATTGTGATAAATATTAAAGTCTACTTGCCTTTCTCTGCAGAGAACAGAAAACCATGTAAACGTTGCATCACAGCAGGGCTGCACGGTGTCAGGAAAACTTGCGATACGCGAAAACAGCCACTAATATTGCGATGACGATATAACGTGATAAATGAAAACTTAACTGCAACAAAAAAAAAATCAAAAACAAAGAAATTAAAAAATGACAAAAAAATAAAAGTAAAAAAAAAACAAATAATAATAAAAAACAAGAAAAGCAATTAGAACAGCAGAAAGAGCAGAACGAAGCTAACTCAGGTTTCTGTTTACCCTAGCCATCCTAATTAAGTGCTGCTCGCCTAGGGGGCGGGCATTTAAACCACCTGATTGGCTAAATGGGTGAAGGGCTCTATTTGACTTGTTAAAATACGTCATGCTTCTGTCTAACTGACAGAAGGCATTATGCGTAGCAAACATCTGAGCTGACCATTCATTGCAATTTTTTCCTGTTCTTTGCAATATGCATATTATGCATGATATTGGGATCATGATACATTTGCGATATATTGTGCAGACCTACATCACATCAATGCATCTTGTCATTTCGCCCTCGAGCCGGTATGTTAACACTTCTCTGTGGTGGAGCAGGTTGTTAACAGGAGTCCTCCCTCCAGGTTGGGGCTACATCGTTGCCTTAGTGAGAGAAGTTCTCAACTCTTGGTGTGTCGTTCCTGAGTACTGGTAGGATGGAAGACAGGTGCACTAACGAATCTCTTAATAATTTTGGTCCTGGTGAGGAAAGAGCTGAGCTAAAATGTTGGGATTCCTGGTCTGTCTAAACTCTCACCTACACGCTCATGGGATCTGGATCCTGGTTCCAAGCACTTACCCACAATGGTACAAATGTTAAACAATCCCAAGCCCGTAATCACACACCGCTTTACTGAGAGAGAACAATGCTCCAGAACAAGCATCCTTCCTGCTGTGGCCGCTGCTTGGTCACATTTTAGGAACTCTTTCATTTCTTGTTTGGACGGACACGGTTCTTTTAGAGATGGTCCCCATGTCCGTCCCTGTGTTAACATTGCACTTTCTAAACTGATCCATGTGACAGGGGTAGGTCATCCTGGTCCTGGACTGCAGCATGTTTTAATAATAATAATACATTTTATTTAAAAGCGCCTTTCAGAACACCCAAGGTCACTTGACAGAAAACACGTAATAAAATACAATAAAACAATAATAAAACCCAAACAAGAAAAAAACAAAGAGAGAAACAGTTCAATAAAATCAGAGGTTGTAGGCAGATTTAAACATATGTGTTTTTAGTTTTGTTTTGAAAAGGGAAAAACTGTCGATGTTCCTGATGTCTGGGGGAAGTGAGTTCCAGAGACGAGGAGCAGAGCGGCTGAAAGCTCTGCTCCCCATGGTAGCGAGACGGGCAGAAGGAACCGCAAGATGGATGGAAGAAGAAGATCTGAGAGAAGGGGATGTGGTGTGAATACTTACAGGTGCTGGCCAGTAAATTAGAATATCATCAAAAGGTTGAAAATATTTCAGTAATTCCATTCAAAACGTGAAACTTGTACATTATATTCATGCAATGCACACAGACCAATGTATTTCCAATGTTTATTACGTTTAATTTTGATATTTATAGGTGACAACCAATGAAAACATCAAATCTGGTATCTCAGAAAATTAGAATATTCTAAAGGCCAATGAAAAAATGTTTGTTTCTCTAATGTTGGCCAACTGAAAAGAATGAACATGAAAAGAATGTGCATGTATAGCACTCAATACTTAGTCGGGGCTCCTTTTGCCTCAATAACTGCAGTAATGCGGCGTGGCATGGACTCGATCAGTCTGTGGCACTGCTCAGGTGTTATGAGAGCCCAGGTTGCTCTGATAGTCGTCTTCAGCTCCTCTGCATTGTTGGGTCTAGCGTATTGCATCCTCCGCTTCACAATACCCCATAGATTTTCTATGGGGTTAAGGTCAGGCGAGTTTGCTGGCCAATCAAGGACAGGGATACCATGGTCCTTGAACCAGGTGCTGGTGGTTTTGGCACTGTGTGCAGGTGCCAAGTCCTGTTGAAAGGTGAAGTCTGCATCCCCATAAAGTTGGTCAGCAGCAGGAAGCATGAAGTGCTCTAAAACTTCCTGGTAGACGGCTGCATTGACCCTGGACCTCAGGAAACAGAGTGGGCCAACACCGGCAGATGACATGGCACCCCACACCATCACTGACGGTGGAAACTTTACACTGGACCTCATGCAACGTGGATTCTGTGCTTCTCCGCTCTTCCTCCAGACTCTGGGTCCTTGATTTCCAAAGGAAATGCAGAACTTGCTTTCATCAGAAAACATAACTTTGGACCACTCAGCATCAGTCCAGTCCTTTTTGTCCTTGGCCCAGGCGAGACGCTTCTTGCGCTGTTTCTTGTTCAAGAGTGGCTTGACACACGGAATGCGACACCTGAATCCCATGTCTTTCATGAGTCTCCTCGTGGTGGTTCTTGAAGCGCTGACTCCAGCTGCAGTCCACTCTTTGTGGATCTCCCCCACATTTTTGAGTGGGTTTGTCGTCACAATTCTCTGCAGGGTGCGGTTATCCCTAGAGCTTGTACACTTTTTTCTACCACATTTTTTCCGTCCCTTCGCCTGTCTGTTAATGTGCTTGGACACAGAGCTCTGCGAACAGCCAGCTTCTTTAGCAATCACCTTTTGTGTCTTGCCCTCCTTGTGCAAGGTGTCAATGATTGTCTTTTGGACAGCTGTTAAGTCAGAAGTCTTCCCCATGATTGTGGTGCCTTCAAAACAAGACTGAGGGACCTTTTAAAGGCCTTTGCAGGTGTTTTGAGTAAATCAGCTGATTAGAGTGGCAGCAGGTGTCTTCTATATTCAGCCTTTTCAGAATATTCTAATTTTTTGAGATACCAAATTTGGAGTTTTCATTAGTTGTCACTTATGAATATCAAATTTAAATGTAATGAACATTGGAAATACATTGGTCTGTGTGCATTGCATGAATATAATGTACAAGTTTCACGTTTTGAATGGAATTACTCAAGGGCGTCAGTTTGTTTTCAGAATTGCTGGGGACAATAACCATACACTTGAGTGGGGTTTAAAAATTGCTGGGGACAATAAAGTAGGCTAGCACAGGGGTCGGCAATCCGCGGCTCTGGAGCCGCATGCGGCTCTTCCATCCATCTGATGCAACTCTCTGTGCTTGTAAAATAATAAATGGATATTTAAATAAAATGCTTTATATTTTACTGCATTAATTTTACACCTGTATGCCAATTCTAAATGTAAAGATTGTCTGCGTAAACCTGAACAGGTCCAACCCGGTCTGCGGTGGTTGACCGGTCACGCTTGTGCGTAATCATATAGGCACTTTATGAGCTGAAGAGGATGTGAGATTCTGGGCTTCTCCTCAGACGGCTCCTGGATGTGTCGCCACATTGGAGCCAGGAACAAGCGCTATTCAGCCAAAGTTTCATCATCAGGGAACATTTTCTAAGTGACAAGTCTCTCTGAGAGACAGGGTTTGGAAAACACTCGCTTCAGTGGGAGGAATCTTCCCGCATGCGCACTGCATGGTTCTCTGCGTGGCTCTGGGGTTAATCAAGTTTAATTGTTTCTCTTTGCAACAATCTTCACAGGAAGGCAAAACAGTTAAACGGCAGGTTACATATATTTCCATTTGACTGTTTATTTTGACAGATGTACTCAAGGATGTTGCTTGGTTTGAAAAAATTACCCCGACGCACACGGATGCTCATGGATGAGCTGACATTTTAATCGTTAACGCACACGCGGAGGTAAAATATTCCCATCAGAACATCAGAGCTCTTTATACTGGACACTGTGTTCAGCGCGGCTCGGAGCGCCCCCGGTGGACAGTGAGCTGAAGATCTGGGGTTCGCAGTGCAGCGCAGTGCAGAACCACGCGCATGCGATGATTTCCTCCCACTGAAGCGTTCTGGAAACCCGGTCTCTCTGAGGGATGTGTCACTTGGAAAATGTTCTTTTTATGAAATTATGAAACTTTGGCTGAACAGCGCTTGTTCCCGTCTCTAATATGGAGACGCATGAAGCGTATAGACATTTGATCACGCACAAAGTTTATGTGGAGCAGAAGCGGTCGGGCCACGGCAGGTGAAATGTTCCTAGCCTACATGAAGTGAAACTGTTTAATTGTAACATTAATGTGTTACTGGACACGCTGGTCTGGTTGGTTAGACCAGTGTTTGAAGTGGAAAACACACACACACACTCACTCACTCACTCACTCACTCACACACACACACACACACACACACACACACCAATTAAAATATAAAATAATGCTGATAGCGTGGACTAGAAGACAGGTGATGGTTTACGTATTTAAATGATGATCAGGCTGCTGTAAAATGTAATCTCCATCCACATCCAGACACAATTATCCTCTAGTCTTTCTCTAGTCGCTCTGCTCTTGTCTGGGCTGATCAGCTGATGGTGCGCGCGCGCCTAACTAGCGGCTGATGCACATTTTACGCATTTGGAGAGGTGGACTGGATGCTGTGCGTTTACTGGAAGATGGCCCACTTAACGCACGGGTGTAGACTACATATTAATGACAAATGAATGAAAATTAAATTGTGAGTTTTTACTTCATATTTTAGTAATAAAAATGACGGGGGAACACATTTATGACGTCTTTTTAAACGAAATTTTCTAGCGCGACCTGCCTGCTTCACTTAAGTCACTGCTTATTAAGGTCCGTCCAAAATTACCGTGGGAAACGGGTAATAATGGTTCTTTGATGGGAATAGGGTGCCGACCCCTGGATAAGATCTGAGCTGGTAAAACAAAAATCCTCATCAGCAGGCGTTTTTGAAAGTGGGGGGGACACAGCTGCCAATCACAAATTTTGCCGGGGACATGTCCCCGGCGTCCCCGGTTAAAATGACGCCTATGGAATTACTGAAATATTTTCAACCTTTTGATGATATTCTAA